ACCGTGAGACGTAACCCAAGAAAGCGCATCCCTCTTCGCCCACGCGAAGAGCACGAGCGCGCGACCTCTCCACCCTTCCCCTTTCCCTTCACCTCAAACCAATACCTATCCTTCTTTCTTGTCGTAAACCTTACCCCCCGCGGCAGCGGTAGCTGCTATGCCCACCACGAAAGAAAGACGACCTTAGAGAATTCCAAAAAGAATTCATGTGTCCCTTTCTCTTTCTCTTTCTTTTCTTTTACCGTAACAGTTAGAATTCTTTCTTTTTTTTTTCTTTTTTCTAAATAAATCTCTCATTGAGACGATGAAAAGTCGAGAATGATCGTAGGAAAAGAATAAGAAGACGAAGAAAAGAAAGAAGAGTAAGAAGAGGAGGAGATAGAGGTGGAGGTGGAGGAGGAGAAGGAGGAGACGCAGATGAAGAGAGCGAAGAAGAGCGGGGACTGACGCGATGCCGCGGGGGTTCCCAGGGCACGTGGGAAATGCACAGTAGTCGTCGTATAGTCGTCCTACCCCCACCTAGAGGACTCGTTCGCTCGCGCGGCTTTAGACCCGCGAGCTACCCCCACCTAACGGACCGTCGCGACTTCCCCCACTGCTATCGCGAGTCTCTGGACGGACCCAAACGCGACGGAGAGTCTTACGGAGCCACGCCCATTGAAATCTCGCGGTATCGTTTCATTGGATGATCCCACGCGGACTTGACGATTCACCTCCCTCGCGAGATCTCGATTCACTCTTGCTATTCCTCTTCTTATTCTTCTTCATCTTCCTCTTCGTCCTCTTCTTCTTCTTCTTCTCTGTTTCTGCTGCTGCTGTTGCTACTCCTGCAAGCGGGTAACGTTAAGGGAGAAGCAACAAAGAAGACGCCGACTGCACGCGAGGGTGGATTCCGATCGTCTTCCACTCAGCCACCGCTACGATCTCGGCAATACGTTCGACAAAGAAAGATATAGAAATGAAGATGGAGTTTGGATGAAGCAATAACGATTATCACGAGGAAAGAAATCATTCTTCCTTTAACTCATTCCACCCATCCAACATTTATAATATTTTTTCAATATCAATGATCTTTCGGTACAGAAACAACACATATATCCTCACGAATTCGACGAGTAAAGGTTCCGGTATCGAAAAGAAGGATCAAGAGAAAGAGAGAGAGAGAGAGAGAGACGTTTGGGTTTTGTATTCAGGTTCGAAGGTCATATCGAGAGATTGCTTTCTCTCTAAATAAAATTTGGAAAAAAATCTGTGAGAGAAAGAAAAAAGAAAAAAAAATATAAAAAAAGAAGATGAAGAAGAGGACGCGTATTCGGTGGTGGAGTCGGCGGATCACAGAGGTGCCGCCTTGTTGGCGCAGGAAACGGAAACTGGCGGAAACAAAGACTCGACAAACAGACGGCTTCCCATAGGGAATGTTACCAGGGCAAATAGCGCGCACGGGTTTGGTCTACCTAGTGCTATCGCTTCTCTTCCTTTACCTCGAGCTCCTTCGGGCCAGGCTTGCGACAAATATTGTCACGAGTTCTCACCCTCTCTCTCTCTCTTTCTTTCTCTCTTTCTTTTTTTCTCTTTTCAACAACGAAAATAAAGGAATCCTACCTTGTTTCACGATATCTCTTCAGAACGATAGATTAGGTACTTAGTTACCTACTCCTAGAAATGGTACTGCAAACGTTCCTTTCTCTCACTTCCCAACTTTCTCCTTTATTTTACTTTTCTTTTTTTTTTCTTCTTTTTTATCTTTCTATATATATCTATCTTTTTGTTATTTTGAAGAGATAACGAAATGATAATTACTGATCGGACCATTCCTATTCGGTTTATTGACATTATTATTTCAAAAGAATTTCTCGTAGGAAATTTGAAAAGGGATCATTTTTATTTTAAACTACTATGTCTATTATAATAAATAACGTAATTCTATTGTTTCAATAATAATCGTTACACAAAATTGTGACCACTAATGTTAAATATTTGAATATTCTATAATAAATACCCATTCTTTTAATTATAATGTAATATCATAGTTCGCGTTAAAAAAAAAAAAGAAAAAACAACCCTAACACTGTTAGAAATACTTACTATGTATTCCTTAATAAGGGTTCTCCCTTGTAAGATATAAATGGACATAGGACAAAACCACGAAGAATCTTGGACATCTTTGAATCTGTGAGATCTGGCAAAGCCGCTTCTTTCATATACACATATACATATATAAATACATACTTATATATACATATGTAGAAAACATGTAACGTTCCGGCCGCAAATCTACGAGCGACTTAAGCTTTATTGCGAGTGCCGTAAAAGCCGAGCACGGTTTTCGACTTGTTGTCCATGCCGCCTCATCCCCTTCATTACCTTCCATGAACACGACACACACACACACACACACACACGTGCATATATAAATATATACTTTTAAATAACTTTCTTCGATTAATCGATAAAAAAAAAAAGATTCTGGAAGAAATGTCTTAAGAAAAATATTTGAAAATTTCCAAATTTTATGAATTATTTTCGTGTCAAGAACAGAACACACTTGTACGCCTGCGCGCGCGCGCACATATTTTCTTTATCAATATATTTCTTTCGTAATAAATCGACATATTATATAAAATTAATAATAATAACAAAAAAATGTTGAAAACTTTTTACACAGAAAAATATATATATACAAACAAAAGTCGGAATAATTCGTGTGAACGTTGATTTCGGAGAAGAACAGGCAGCTGAAGATATAATAAAGAAATAAGATGTCTGTTGGAACAATAAGGTGCGGCATTTCAACGAACAAGCATCGTGTTATTAATAACGCTAATAACACCCAACACTAATCTCGTCAACTAATCTTGTTGTTTCACGATAAGGAAAGGAGTATAATGACAGGTATCGTCGTTATAATCCATCTAGGTGTGTACTCGTTGGTCGTTGTCGTCGTTGTCGTCGTTGTCGTTGTCGTTGTCGTCGTCATAGTACGTGAATAAAAGAAAAGAAAAATACTTGCAAAAAAAGTACAAAAGCGTATTTTACACAAGAGAACATTGTAATAATTATTAAGAGGAAGAAAGATAATATATATACGCGTTGTGTGCGACGAAGAAATTATCTATCTCTTTTCGTATCCACATAAATTTCTTTTTCTTCTTATCTTTTTTTATATATATATTTTTCTATTCGTCATTCTCGAAATTATAACGAGAAAATAAAATGGAATTGACTTTATTACCGATTTAAATATATATGTCCAAGATTCTTATAATAAAAATGAACCGTGTCTCGTTGATTCGTGTAAAAGATTAAAAAAGAAAAATAATAAAAGTAGGGAAGATTCTAGGAAATAGAAGAAGAAGAAGAAAGAGAAAAAAAAGTAGGTTGGAAATATAAACTCGGATGCGCTCTTAATACACGAATATCCTTTAATACGTTCTCCTCGTGTGCCGTAAAGTTAATAACGCTTTTACAACTCTATCTTCTTCCTCTCTTTCTCTTTCTTTCTCTCATTCTTTCTACCGTTTTATTCAAGAGAAGTTTTGAATGTATTACGAACATACACATTAGAAGTGAAAACGTAAAGTTGCGAGCTTGTAGTTTACACGCAGATGACTCGTTCGTCCGCTCGCGCGACCCGCTCGCGTTGGGATTTGCTTTCGTCGTTTTACTGGATTTACCGACAGACACTTCACGCTTGGTGAAACACGCCCATGTTTGACTTGGCTTTTGAGTTACGCCGAAATTTTCAGAGAAAGACGCCGACACACACCAACGTTGAGCCTCGGGCGAACTTATCATCGTCCGGTCTTTCTATCTATCTCTTTCTATCTTATTCTTGCTCTCTCTCTCTTTCTCTCTCAACTCTAACGACACTACGACAACTCAAACGCACGCGTTGCAATGCGAGTGAGGGTAGATAGATTGTTTGTCGATTTTTAGTCATCTCTCCGCACCATAAACCCGTCGACGAGTTGCACCGAGAAACGATCGTAAAATCCAAACGCCTCTTATTCCGTTTGAGAACACGAGAACAACTTCTCCCAAACTTTACTCTCCCGTATTAAGGATCCCGAATAAAGTTGTTAAATAATCGCGAAAGATTGATCTGGATTCAACATTAAAAAACAAACATTGCTATCAAATTCAATTATTATCTAAACGAAACTATATTGGTATTTTTTCTATTTATTCATAATTAATTAAAAAAAAAACATGATTTTTATAAGACACGATTTTTAAGTTTCATAAACCTTACTTCGTAACTGATATTATGATATTATTGAATTATTTTATTAAACGCATATCAATTATTTCGAATAAATATTTGAATTTTCTTTTTTGAATTTCATTAGTATCGATTTACAATAATCGATTGTAATACTTACATCGCCATCTAGCGTTCAACGTAACTACTACGTATGCGTCGTTGCATACCTGCAAGTGCATCCACGGACATGACTTGCAGTGCCATCTAGAGTTTAACTTAACCTCTGTATTCTTTGATATCAGCAATTATATCCGCCGATACGACTTGTCCTGACATCCTACGCAAAATTTTGGAACTACGCCTTGTATAATGTCCCCATTGATAGGCAAACTTCGTACATGCCTGTATAGGAAAATCCAGAAGCCTTCCTGGGTTATACGTCATAGGATAGTATTGAATATGTCATTTTGAAAAATGTTGAAATATCACGTGGGTGAATAATTTTCTTAGAATTTTTATCGATCATTGCACGTATTATTATTACATAGCTAGTTAATTAATAATTATTTAACATTCATTATTTTTGTTTGTTGATTTATATCACATGAAACATTTGTTCGTATGATATTATTTAAAACAAAAAAACAAAAAGTGTTTACATTCGTATTAATAATAAATTGATAGATAGTATTTTGTTAAAAATTACAAGAGAAAAATCTTTATCTTAGTTCCGTAATTGTGGCCCCCCTGTGTAAAACAACTGACGTTAGTACCCATCGTTACTAAAAATAGTTAATGGTACACGAACATGGTGTCTATTGGTTTGACGTTTCGATCATTTTTATGTTTAGTTTTCAAATGTATTTATTCTAATAGATATTAATCGATTTTATTGTAATCGATGATTCAATCAAAGTCATAATTTATTATATTCCTATCTCACTTATTGTCTTTTATCATGAAACTTAAATTGTATTACGTTTGTTCCATAAAATATTCCTGCAATCGGATTCGGATAGAAAGTGATTCTTATATATAAAATCAAAATGTTGGAAATTCTTACAGTATTGGCATACTTCGTTTGTCCCATCGAACGAAGAACATCCATCAAAAATTATCACAATCAATCAGGTAAATATATTTCTGTTAAATTAACATTTTGCATTAACCCCTCTTTTCTATATAAATTTCCAATCTTTCTTTCATATTCAAATTCACCAACTTTCTTGTGTTTTATTATTTTTTCACATATCATTTATTTATATATTATTTAATACTTTTATTGGTTAAATAGAAATAATGTTATTGACACATAATGTATGTTGTCGCTGCATAATTTCTTATATTTAATACATTGTGTAATTTTCATACGCAGACCGTATACAAGTCAATAGGTTATATATTTAAATTTCTTGCATTAAATCAGAATAATAATTGGTTAAATGATAAGTCAAAATCAAATGTTCCATTTAAAACATCAATTACATTACAATTATTATATTATTATTTAGAAAATAAATGATGTTCATTTAAATAAAGATATTTGTATTATATGAATTTCAGAACTTTGCAGAGAAGTGAATTGAGCAAGCTGTGACCCAATATGCATGTGAAAAGATAATTTAAAATGAGGTTCAACAAACAAGAATTATTAACCCTGGCAACTCAGCCATCTCAAAAATTTGAAAAGGAAGGTGTTTTGTATGTTCGTGAACGTCAGGAAGGATTTTTTCGCAGAACTGAGAGTGAGTCTTCGCATATATTTTTTTCAACATTACCATTATTGTTATGCGCATATTGCAATGTCCTGCAACTCTATATTCTAGCATATAGAGATGTGCATGATTTCTGTCCCTTAACTTAATTATTATACATATATATATAGACATATATGTATAAGTCATCGTAGGCATACAAATTAATCTGAGCGATATAAAAAATATATCATTTTCGTTTAATAATAAGTCTATTTTATATTATACGATAATAATAATCGTTGATGTTATATCATATGCGCAGTGTATGAGTTGATACCAAAATTTACTATTGATTATTCTAGTTAACATTTCTATAGATATTTATATAATTATTATGCATTAATTCATTGTTATCCATTTATTTTATAAATATATATATTTATATATATATATACTATTATCAAGCATGAACAATATCGCATACTATTTGTTGTAAATTTATCATTTCATAGCAATTACCAGTTTCTTGTTCTTGGTCAATTATTTTGAATGGATGTAATGTAATGATTTTGAAAATAAACCAAGAAAATATGCTTAAAAATATGCTTGCAATGTGTGACAAATGAATATATATATTTTAGAATTATTATTATTCTTGTAATATATATATATATATATTATATATTTAATAATGTATTTTTCATAATTTCAGATATTGTAGTCCTTAGAAATTTTCCTAGAGTATTATTTTCCCCTAGATAATAAATGCATGTATTACATTTAAAAAACTTGCTGAAAATAATTTATTATTCTATTACCAATATAATTTATATACAAAAATTTACTGTATTCTCTATTATGGTACATCTGTCAATAATAATAATAGTATTTTATTTTTAGGAATATAATAGCCATTTATCTTTTCACTATTTTTTTTTACATCATAAAAAAGATAAAAATAATAAAAAAGAAATTTCAATGCACTAATCCTACTAGAAAATAATGCTTTGAAACATTCATTTATAGAAAAATTGAGAACTTCAACTCTATGCGTGTTAACATTTAATATTTCCAAATGATCGGCTGCTGACATAATTGTTTAATTAAGATTGTATAAAATTGTTTCGACTTAAACTGTAGAGCAACTTTTCGAGTAAAAAAGATTTAATATAAAATAAATATATATAATTTCTAGGAACTAGTATGCAATGTCATTAATTACTCGCATATGGTATTTTACTAACATAAAATGATAACACCAGAGCTCATTGTAAAATTCATTCTTAACCAAAAATTCCATTCATTATTCTCTTAACTTAGGGTTGTACAAGTTATTAAATATTTCAGATTTAACAATCATCGACAAAATGATTTCTTATCCATTCAAGTTGTAAAACTTGTATATTAAAAATAGAACGATATCTATTTTGGTTCATACAATAAATTAATCCTGAGCACTTACGTATCCCTAAAAGCAGAAGTAGATTTATGTTATGCATTTAACATATGAAATACACACAGATACATATGTATGTATACTTAGATCTTTGATTAATGATTACCAGTACCTCCATACAATTTCCAGGTACAGGTAAAAATCTTGAGAACAAAAGACAAAAAGGGAAAACACATAAGACTCTACGAGACCTCAGTTGCGTTACAGCCAGCACGAGTAAAGGTACATTCGAGTGCATTTTACCATTATGTATCACAATCATCTATCATAACATACCTCTCTCTCGTCTAACTAATATTCCCAAGTATAGTCTACAATATTGATACCTTTGATAATTGGTATTAAAAAAGAAAAATTGCACAATAATTTGGCCATTCTAATTTGTAAATTCATTTTGTGTTTCTTTTATTCTATTCTCCCCTATTGATATATCCAAATATATTTAGAAATATTACATTAGATCAAAGTGTTCAAGTAACGTAATTAGTTTCATATATTTTGCTTTAATAATTTTTAATTCTTCATTTGTAGCAACCAATGCATGTCGTAAATAGAAATCATGCTTACAAAGCTTATTAGAAGAAACATGATCTTCTTGCATGTATTTAGTAAAAGCATGAGTGATACAGTTGGTTTGCTAAAGATTATATTTTTTCATTTTCCTCGCTATTACACCTATTATATTTAAGCAACTATTTAATCGAACATTATTATAAATTTAACTAATATGCTCCACTGTTATTTTTTTTATATACTATATGATAATTATTTAGAGTGGGTTATAATTTAATTCTACTCACATAAGACGGTAGAGAGTAGGCTTTAATATTCTAACACAAATGCTTCTTCACATAAAAACAAATATACTGTACTGTAACTGTTGAAATATTTGTGTGTCTTTTGATAACACCAAATTTACAATATTCGTATGAGAAAGCTCTTAGAGAGGTGTGCGTTGATGAATATGAATCAATGTTTTAAAATGAAATAGAATTCATTTGTACTGTCTTGACAATTATGAAATATTAATTATAAGTCTTAACTATCTAGCTAAGTGTCACCCAGAAAAGTGCTTTCTTGCAAGAATAATTGTTTTAATTATAAAAACAACATGTTGTGTCAAACATATGAGAAATTAATTATATATATATTTTCTATGATTTGTTTCACAGTAAGTCTAGAACGATGGTGCAGATTAAGAGGAAACCTTCTATTTTATTTCAAATCTCGAGAACAGTGGTCAGAACCTCTTGGAGTTATTATTTTGGAACAGTGCTGTGTCCGATTGGATCAACCGACAAATCAAATTCCATATGGATTCAGCATAGGTAAGATTTTTTATCAACTCAATATTATATTATTTTTATAAATAAGACAAATAAGTACATTGTAAAAATTTCTTTTAGTATTTGATGGTGGGTTGTTTCAACAATTGGGAGCTAATACTGCTGAGGAACGAGATAGCTGGTTGCAAGCATTGCAATTAGCTAGCTATGAATGCATGAGAAGTCAACTTTTAGCATTAAGAGAACGCATTGAAGCTTTCAGTGGTCACAAAACTGATACTGATATACATATGCTCAGGTTGCAACGTGGGATTTTTACAGGTTGAAATTGACTTTGATGAATATCGTGTGAAAAAAATAGAAATATTTATTTATTGCAATAATTATCTTTTAGATCCTGCAGAAATACCAATGTGCGAGGTATCACTAGCATGCGATAATCTTCTATGCGATGGACACGGCCGACCTCCTAATCCTGTTTTGGAAGTAGACGTTCTATTGAAGCGTTCGAAGACGTGGATCAAATATGCACGAACAGAAGTTGTAGAAGTAAACATTTTTATTTCTCTATCAAATTTTAAAAGATAGATTTGTTTGCTATTTGTTCATCACTTTTACAGCGAAGTAGCAACCCTGGATTTTTAACAACTGTAAGCTTTAGAGCAAGTGACGGTCTTAGCTCTGATACGAAAGTACGAATAACAGCCTACGATGTAAGAGAAAGAGTAAGTCAAACAGCAACACCAATAGGAAGTTCAATAGTAACCTTCAACGCGATCCAAGATACTCCTAGATTGAGAATACCATTAAAATCTGCTAAAACGACTACTGTTGGGTTTTTGACTATTAATGTATGGAATCTGGAAGCCGAAGATAAAGGAAACAGTACAGAAAGTACACCTTCTAGAAATATTCCAAGTACAAACAATCAGCAGGTAGCTTGGATAAGTGTCTACAAATAATTTTTACAAAAGATATTTAATAATCTATTAGGTAGTGATTATTTTTTTTTCGAACTTTAATAATCTAACAAATTACTAATTCTACATATATCTGCAACTTTAATTCGAAAACAAAATAATAATTAAATTTATTTATCTTGGAGTTGCAGGTTTTATCGCACAGACGGTCGCAATCGTTACCTCCGAGATTAGGAACTAAAATAAAGCTTCCGCATCAAGGACAATTGAAATTATTGTTTGCCAATCCATTCATTCAAACGTATAGGTGCGTAATATTACAACAAAAATTGTAAATTTATAACTTAATTTACAATACATACTTTTAATAAATATTTTCTAAACGATTTTATATATATAATTTTTTACTATGCATAGGTTTCATTCAGGATTGGGTGGAGACATATGTGTGCATGAAATTATGGCAGAAAGTAAATTATGTTTCCAATTTCCGCAACATTTACTGTAAGTGTTACTTTCTTTTGGATACACTAGATCTCTCTTAATCGATAATAACAAATGTGAATGATTACAGTGGAATTTGGATACAAGAGGAGAAAGAATTACTTCAAGAAGTAGCTGGTATGGGTGAATTAAGGGAACCATGGCATACAAAACAAGTTGCATTACTTGATCGCCATCTTCATCTGTTACATTTATATTCACAAGCCAAGGAGAATTTAGCTGATTTTGAAGGTAATTAAAATAATTCATATTTCGTCGTTGTATCCAATTATTTATTAATAAATTAATCTTCGTTCACGCGCAGGAAGTTATTTCAAGCAATCATCTCGAAGAAATGATCGAACTTTGGAATTTGCACCTTTAAATTTACACCTTCAAAGAATGTGGGTTCATAATGATACGCTGAATAAATGTGGATTTTACGATTTTGTCAGTGTTGGTGCATTTACTGCACATTCTCATAAGAGTAAAAATGGTGGACTAATAAGGTACACTATTATCAATATTTCAATCCTAATTATATTAAAATAAAATATATAAATAAAGTATATATTTCAGACTTGTACAAGCACTTAAAGAATCTCCAACACGAGGTAATCAATTGTATCAAGGAACGTCAAAGATAATAATGGCACATGACGCCATTCAAGCTATCAAACAATTAAGAAGAGATGTTGTGGAAGCAATGCGTTCTTTAATGGAACTTGCTAAACGAAAGCAAACCAGTGGTATGATACCAATCTGCGAAGATATGATAACAAAGACAAGAATATTGTTAAGTCTTTGGGATCCAGGACTTGTGGAAGAAGCATTAACTTTTCTAGAAGAGCATAAGGTAGCTAAGGTTCAAGAAGAAACTAATGAAGATAGTTCTTTACTAGACTTCAAAGTTAATCAATCCTTATCTCCATTTAAACGAATCACGCAACAACTTAATTTTGACCTAAAGAGTCCTGATTTTGATGATTTCGTAACACCTGATACCCCAGAGTGTATGCAAGATACCTGGGCTGAAGAAAATACCAAAAGAAATTATGCATCTTTGGCATTTAAAAATAGTATTAATTGCGACAACTCCGATAATACTACTATTATTACTACAACTGCAATTAATTTTTCTTCTACTACTACTACCACTACCATTACTACTACTGCTGCTGGTATTACTACTTCGAGTGCATCTATTACTACTGCTACTACTACCACTACTACAACTACTACTACTACTACTACTACTACTACTACTACGCAAGAAGGTGAAAACAAAGAAGACTTCGTTATATTTCCAGAAGTAGAAAATGATCAGGATATAAAGGAAACGGAAGCCAGGGAAAATGGCAATCATGAGGTAAGCAATAATAACGACGACGATGAAGAAAAATATGACATCAAAAAGGATACTGATAAAGGCAAACGTTTCTTGGACATGAAAAAAATGTGTAACTCTCCGTCTGCAAATTATTATAAACCGACGGACGAGCCGGAACCCTGGGATCTCACACAGCTAAACATTGAAGCGAGTGTGATGTGCCTGGTATCAAAAGTCAAATTCCTTTGCGGTAGATGCAGCAGTCCAGCTGTACGTTTACGTAACAAAAATAGTTTAGGACGATCACAGAGTCTCAAGGGATGTCTGTCGAACAATCGAAACAATTCAAGTGTTGTGACAATTCAGCCTAAGAATGCGTTGCAGAGCGAAGAATCAAGTAAGTTGCTGGACAATTCACACAACTCCGTCTCTCGACAGCAACCAAGTCCCCAAGGGATGGAAAAGTCGACCCCAGCTTTCTCCAAAGCCAAAGAAGGTAAAGAAATTCAAACTAGTACGAATATATATACTCATTCATATTCACTTTATATATATATATAAACATACATATATATATATATATATATATATATATATCATTATTTTTCAATATTTATTATTATTAGCTCTACATGCACACATCATACATATGCATATCCTCTTCATAAATCTCATCATGTAAGAATATCAAAGTTAGTTATTTTAAAAATATATTGTATTATCACGCGCGCGCGCAATCTAATTGGTATTTATTAAATACCTTCTTCTTATTAGTCGCAAAAGAAAGTTTTCTTCTAAGCAACGTACAATGTGTAACTTTATTAGGGACTACTGATATTTATTGTAATACGTCTTCCGATAAAGTGTGCCAAGCTGTTGACTCAATGACAAGAGTGATTAAAAGTAATTCTGGACAGAGGAACAAGTTTATCGAAGGTCTAGACTTTGCATCGATCGTAGACTGGACGAGTGAGCTTAGACCAAGTATGAAAAAGCTGCGCCAGGCTATGGATGGGCTTCTTAAAACTGCGAGGCTCACGCATTCGGTATTCCGTGTTCAAGAAGATGCCAAGACGGCTCAACGTGCTTGTAATGTCAGATATAGACGGGACGTTTGCTTTAGTCAGGCAGTAAGTTTATTAATCAACATATTATTATTATTTTTCTTTTTAAACCCTCATACATCAACAATAAATGATATATTATTCTAATTATTTTCAGCTAACATCGTTAGTGTCTAGTATTATGGCAAAATTGTGGTGTCAAAGGCCTGATCCAATGTTTCTATTAATTTTAACGACACTCGGACCTCTAGTTTCTTTCGAGGGACTTTTAAGTTATTACGGCGATGAAATTGATATGTGGGGAGATATGGCAGTTGCTGTTGAGGATATGCATACCGTTACATTTACTTTATCTAGACGTGGTATTCAGCCTAGGTATAAATGATACTTCTAACAACCAAAAACAATCATTATATATCTTATTTCTTTTTTAAACTGTTTCATTTAAAACTAAATGAAAAATGTTCTTTTATATTTTGTACAGAATCGAAGGCTTTCAACTTCCACTACCTTGCGTAGTTGGTTCTCGAACTGCGTTAACGGTGATACTTCCAGTACCAGATGCTATATATTCGTTGTTGCCATTAGTACCTTCTTCCAGACAAACTTTATCCTTCAACGTTACACCTGTATTCTTCAATATAGGTATTAACGAAATGGCATCATTGGCTGAAAGTCTTGGTACTACTAAACCTCAAGAAAAAAGTAATATTGATAATTTTGATAGACTGAACGAATATTATTTGAGATTTAGAAAACTCAATTTGCCTACGGAACCAGCATCTACACGGCGTAAGTGCATCTACACATTGAGATGTGTTTGTAATTTATTTGTTAATAAGTTCAAAGAGGAATATCGATTTAATTAACAATTGTGATGATGAACTCATTGATAAATAAATTATTTTATAGTTGGTACAAAATCTGCATTGAGTCATACATTGGCGGACATGATGTTAAATTTAAAAACGGCCGTTCACGCTAAAGTCAATAAAAACGTCGAGATATTGCAATTATCGTCGCAAATATGTCGACGAATGCGTGGCTTGAGATTTACCAGTTGCAAAAGTGCCAAAGATCGGACTGGCATGTCGATCACGTTAGAACAGGTAAACATACTCTCAACGGAATATCATTTAGCCGAGCATGAATTTACGAGAGCACTCGATTGTATGCGAAGGTAAATATAATAATATAAATACTTCTTTGTTTATCGAATTCGTATAATATTTTATAATTGTACTTTATTTATCTCATTCTAGCGAAGGATGCCGACGAGAAAACACGTGGAAGAATATCGGGGTACGAAAATACGCGTTCAACAGTCTACAGATATTAACTTTTCCAAAATTGTATCGACCACCAACCGGAACCTATGGATCAGCACAAACTTAAGATAAGTGTTACAACGATATATATATATATATATATACACTTTGTTTTATTCAATTTATTACTATTATTATTAATTTTTTTTTCTTTTTTGTTGAATGATCTTTTTGATCGGGACTTGCCAATTAATTTATAATTTCATGCGAGGTGACTAACGATTAAATCATAGACACACATACATACAAATACCCATACTCCTATGTCGATAGATATAGCATTTAGCGATAAAATGAAGTTTGTGTTTTTAAGATACTAGGAGATTTCAACGAACGCGATTAAACGTAGCCGTTAATAGCTGTTAACTTAAAAAAAGAGTACTAAACGATCATATGTATTTACTCAACTTTCTTCTAATACGATTTTTCACTTTTTGTTGTTTACAAATTGTGCTATGCGTGCTATATAAAAACTGTGTTTTCAGAGTACCGTTTTATAAGAGAGTTGAGTGTACAGAATAATGGTCGATCAGGATTATTCTTTAGTGCCATTTTTTAATTTTTATTTTTTATTATTTAAACAAATAGTGCGAAGATCGGTGCATCGAGATTTTTTGCGAATGATTAATTATTAATCATCATTTGTTAAGAGAAAAAACATATTTATTGCACGATGTACATAATTTCGTCGACGCGAGCACAAACCACGAAGAAAGATTTTTTGAAATAATTAATGACAGAAAAGAAGGATCAGACTCGTCTATCACAAAAACTGTTGTTTAAAACAGGGCTTCTCAAATTTTGTCCACTTGGCGATCACCCAAATTATTTGTAATAATTTTGTATTCTTACTGAAATTTCTGTTACTTCCAAATTTAATTACGCGACCTCGTATGGGGATCGCTACCCACACTTCCGGAAGCTCTGATTTAAAAAGAACAATTTTTAATTAAATTAATTAGATCAATCTAAGCGCTTCCTTTTACTGAACAATCGATCGAATAACAAATTCGTGATAATAAATTATTGCAGATAGAGCTCAAGTTTATATTATTACGTTGAATTGTATATTTGTATATTATTATTATTATTATATTTTTTTCTTTCTTCTTCGATTGAAATATTGTTTAAGAAATATCTGAGAAACGAGATATTTCGTTATTATAATAATACTCTCGTACGTGATAAAATATAAAAGAAAGGAAACGAAAAAAATATAAATCCAAATGATAAATCCACGAATTTTGCCTCTGGCGACAGGCAACACACTCGTACGAACGTGCACTAAAAAAGTTCATAACTCTGGGTGTCTATGCACGTGCTTTTGAAATGAATTTTAATTAAAAAAAAATGATTCATAATTAATAATATATTATACGTATATATTTGTAGGAGATTAAAAGAATTATTATTAAGTTATATAATAAATGCTCTTTTGTTTATCAACGAAGATAGTTTATTAATTTTTAGAGAACGAAAACAAAATATTTAAAAGAAAATTCGAATTAACAAAGTATATTAATATAAAATAATAATAATAGTAATAATAATAATAATAATAATAATAATATTAATGATAATAATCGGTGAAGCACGTTGTCTCAGGAATCATCTCATTGGAAAATGATCAATATCTTAAAATCATTTATATGCATGTCCAAGTGTCAACTAAATAATCGAACAAATTAAAGGCAGCAGAAACAAAATATGTATTTTCAAATGAATACAAAACATTTGTCGTTCATACACGCCGAGATGATTCATTCGTGTTACTTAAGAAGAGATCGTATAGAATGATATTATTCGTGAATAAGAAAAATTATGATTTTTTTCGTATTTAGAGAGATCTGTTAACAAAAAAATAAAATACAAAAAACAGAAAGAAATAAAGAACAAAATATATTATCGAACGCGTATAAACGATCATTTTCGCAATTAAAAAATAACAAATTGTATCGAACGTTACGTTTCGCTCGTATAGATACACACATACACACATAAATACATGCATTACGTACGTACATATTAAATATTAACGTTAAAAATAAAATTAACAAAACAAAAAAACAAATTAAATAAACTAAAATAAAATTAAAAAGACAAACCCGTACGCGGAACGTGAATTGTTTTTAAATATATATTGTTATTAGTCAATATATGAATTTTTGTAAGAAAATAAAAACCTAACATTTTCCCTAAACAAAAGAGCTCGTGTAATACGAAAACGCAGTAACATGTAATATGTATAGGTTGTTAAATTCGTGATAGAAATTTAGGAGAACGAATTATATTATATATATATATACGATATGTGAATCTCAAATTCGCACTTAAACAAACAAAAAATTATATATGTAAAGAATAATAAAAAGAACGATTAATTATTAAAAAATTAAAAGAAAGGAAATGTGAAAACTACCCCTTAAAAAAAAGGAATAAATAAACAAACAAACAAACAGTCTGTGTAGAAAAATTGTAAAACGATTGAATAAAATATTATTTAAGAGGGATGAACCGAGAGTTTAATATCATCGAAGGAGGATAAGAAAAAAAAGAAGAAAAGAATGTTAGAAAAAGTTGGAGAAAAATGTAAGAGAAAAAATCTGAAATATTTTGAGAACAGGTAAAAGTGAAGAAAATAAAATAAGAAAAAAAAATAAGATTTGTACGAAAGCTCGCTTACCAGCTGCCAATCTAGAACGGTGTTGTTGATCTGTATAAAGGGAATAGAACCGGGTCGCGGCTTGAACCGGCTTTCATAAGGGCATCGATGTCCGATAGAGAGATGCCTGTGAGAGATGCCGAAGAAAGAGAGATGCATTTGCAGTCTGTCGTGTGCCATTGGGCGTAGGAAGGGCGTAGGAAGGGAGCATATGGGAGAAGGGATCTCCTACGGTTGAACAAGCATACGGCGCGTGGCAAAAGATTCCTGTTTAGCATCGGGTATGTGCCGTTCATCCATCCATTCTCCTCTTATACACAACTTCAATCACGTGTATACATATTATACACACATATATAATATATATGTGTATACACGTGGACCAAGTTACGTGTAAAGTTGGCTCTGACACAAGAAACTCGTTCATCGTTTGGGGGTAGATTTTTTTTCTCCTTCTCTTCTTTTTCTTCTTATTTTCTTTGATCGAACCCTTGAAGCGTGCCTCGGTTATAATACCCTTCTTCTCTTTTTCTTTTGCTCATTCGCTCACTCTTTCATTATTTTACATTATGTTCTACGTTTACGTTTAATAGATCATATTACCAATTGTTCAAACACGTATAAGAGGAATGTTTAATTCGTTTGGTAACGGTTATATCAATGAAACCTTTTAAATTTTTGATATAAGATACACCGAGTTTTTTTTCTTTTGCCAATGTAACAGTTGCGTTTCTGTAATATGATAGTTTAGCACTGTCCTTCCAACTTTTCGAATTATTCTATCCAATGAGTCGAATTATTCCAAATTTCTCGAGCCCAAATTTATTCCATCCAGCGTTGTTGGTAGGCGATCATTTGTGGCTCATTTAACAAACCATTTTCTACGCTTCTTTGTATAAGTTTTCTATGTTATTAAAAAATAATTTTTATTACTTATTGTATATATATTTAATTTTTATATAAAGGTAAAATTGAACTATTGCAAATGTTAAAAATATTATTTTACCTTTAGTTTAAAAAAGATGTAGAATTTTCTTTTGGATTTTACCTGCGGCACAAACGATTACCTGTATAATGAAGCTGCTTGTTTCCTCTCTCTCTTTCTTTTTCTCTTTCTCTTTTCTTGTGCATCTTCTCCCTTCCTCCTTGCATCCACCGCACGAGCGAACCGGGGGCCATCGATGTCGCGTGGCGTGCGCGTGGAAGTGCCAGTAAGATAAAAATAAAAATAAAAAGGAGACCAAAATAAAGAAGTAGAAGAAGAAAAGAGAAAAGAAAAAAAAGAATGAAGGGAAAGAAAATATCGAATAATATTTTCGATTAATATCACACACACACACACACACACATATAGAAAAATATAATAAAATTATGTATATAATAAAAATTAGAAGAAAAAAAATCAAATATATCTGGAAACTATTCGAACACTTAGTAATAATATTAAAAATAGAAAATAAAAAAGAAGGTGTAAATGTATTTCTATATTCAAAGGATTTATTATACGATTAACTTAAATAATGTTATTCGAGTACGTAAGGGCAAATCGTATGGCACACACGTAGGAGGGTAAAGCTGACCTTAGAAAGCACAGGGGCAGAATGAAACGAAGCATGGAAAAGAGGAAGAGTAGTAGATGGTGGGTAGAGTGAAGCTGATGTTGGTGGTTGGTGGTAGTGGTAGTTGTGGTGGTGGTGGTGGTGCTGCTGCTGATAGTGGTGGTGATGGTGGTGGTGGTGGTGGTGGTGTTGGAGAAAAGAGAAGAAGAAGAAGAAGGAGAAGCATGTACACGCGCGATAGTAAGAGGCAAGCGAGAGGACAGAACGATGTATACCTGGGACGCCTGGTGTTGGCGAACACCTGCTCCACATCGGTATCCCCCAATGCCTTTGTCCAGCCAACGGATATAACACAAGCGTACCTCGTCGAGGAGACGCCAGTAAGTCTTTGAGAGTCTAGGAAGACGGACACGCGTAGTCCTTAGTTTTCATTATTTATCACACAAGATTCGCATACACATTGTGGTCCATGACATAAATATTTAACAAACACGCACTTATTACTTTTTATATAATTGTCATTAGATTATCATACAAGATTTAATACAATTTATATTTTGTGATCTATGATATCGATCATTTAACGAATGATAGATCTAACTTTCGTAATTGGTATCAACGATTAATATAGAGAGTGATATCATTGGACTTAAAACTTTTCAAAGTTTTTGCGATGAAACATATTTCGAGAAACAATATGTTGACTCTGTGTTTATTAGTAATTTCTATGTTGAAGACTATCAACGGTGTTAGTACGGTGCCTATGAATAACGAAAATCTCGAAAATTTAGTGAAATCTTTGCAAGAACAAGTTAACGCACTTCTTTATCATCGTCAGGAGGATTACAATGCTTTGGAGGAAAGTTTGAAGCATGCCATCGAGAAAAATACCGAGTTGATTGTACTCAGGAAAGAAGTCGAATTATTGAGGTGAGAATTTATTTTTATTTTTATTTCAGTTCTTTTTTCGAAATTGTAGCTATTTTCAATTCAACGTACGATCGATAGAACGAACACTCGGTAACAAAGCAAACGAGCAAGCAAGCTTAACACGTTGATTTTTTATTTTCTTCAACGGTGTCATAGACAGTATAAGCTGGTATATGCATAGAATATAAAAAGAACGAGAGGAAAATAACAAAAAAAAAAAAGGAAAATAATATTTAATAAATCGTTAGGTATAAATCGCAAGACAAAAATAACAATAAAAACGAAGTTCTCAGTAATAAATGTTTCTATAGATAGGAATATGACCTTTTATACTCATTACTATTTGATTCTTTTGTGAATAAAATATTTAATACAATATGCACATGCTCGGATTAATAATTTGCAAGTAGTTAGTTTGACACGCCAGAGATAGAAAGATAAAAATAGATAGATAGATAATGGAGAAAAGAAATGATAAAACATTTAAGAAATTTTAAGTAACGAATTGATAACAAAGTAAAATCTGATAATATATTCTATTGTTACGATCTTTACAGGAAAGAAGTAACCGAGTTGAGAGGCGGAAGCGGTAACGAGGCGAAAAACGAGCGTTTGAGGGTGAGATGGTTGGGTAGTGCGGTAACCGAATTGCAAACCGAAGTCGCCGAAGTTCTAAGAACGAGAAATGCTAGCGAAGAATTAGCTGAGCGATCAAGGATGCGAAGCGAATTGTCTCTTTTAAAAGGTGACGTAGCTGAGGTCGGGAGAGGTATTCGTAATCTTGGTGGTCGCATTGCCAAGTTCGAAGCTGCCCTGGGAACAATTCGCATCGACATTACTGCCGTGAAGGAACGTGCCAGCAAACTGTCCCGCACCTGCGCCGATGTCGCCAGTCAGGTAATAATATTGAAGATTGAAAAAAAAAAAAAGAACATACTATTTATATATATGGGGAGAGTATATGATCCGCGAGGAGGGCACACACGTTTATCGCATGCGTAAACATAAAAGGGATACACGTTGACGCATCAACATGTTTAGTAGTTATCAACCAAAGGAGAAGAAAAAAATAAAGAAACGGGGGAAAAACACAGTAAGGAAAAAAAATAATAATAATAAAAAGAAGAATAAAAAGAAAAAAGAAAGAGATGCAAGAGAGATGCACCTGCCGTGTTAGTCGTACAGCCGGCAACCGGTGGCTCCCCATTTCTGTTTCTCGTTTTACCGGCCGGCAGCTGCCGGCGTTGGCTCCTCGCTATATCGGGGCCCCTTCATTCCGGCGTTCCATTCGTTTGGCAGCATCGGCCCTCCTCCCCCGAACAGGCCCTGATACCTCCTCCCCCTTCGCATCCCACCAATGTTCATAAATACAACACGGACCCGGTATATGTCGTGGTTCGTTGCGCTCCTTCAACAAAAGCAGATGTTTCGTATTATTCCTTTATTTTCTTTCTTCCTTTTTTTGTTGGGTTACCTTCCAGTTATCATTCGTCCCTTTTTTCATACACATTCCAGACTTCTTATTATCCTCCACTTGTATATTTTATAATTATTAATTAATATTTATTTATTTTTATTTCATTAATTAATTTCCTCTTCCGTTTTATTTTGTTTAGATTGGTACCGTGCAAATCGAATTGAAATCATTGAAATGCGACACACCAAGCGAGCACAAGTTCCATCGGTTCTCCGTCCATCGACATGAGGACAAAACACGCGAGGACAATGAGATTAAGAATGAAGTTCTATTCCACGAAAGTAGGAGGAGGCATAGTTATTCGAAACCTTTAATGCATCGTATCGAGGAACGTCTCAACAATCTGGAACATAAAATATCGTTAGTATCGAGAAAACGTGGAATGATCGAAAAAAGAGTGGTATATGAAAATCAGGATTACTTATCCGGACGTATAGCTAATTTGGAGACGGCTCAGGAACAATTATTTTCGCGTATGAAAAATATCAGCAAAGAATTATCCTCGACGAGTAAATTAAGCGAAACGATGGTCGAATTATTTGAAACTGTGCAGACATTGGAGGACAAGGTAGATGGTAATGGATCGGATACTAAAAGAGAAATCGCAAGATTGGATATTAATGCTGCGAGAAAGGCAGCTGAATTGTCGTTGACCAGAGAAGAATTATCTAATCTTCGAAGAGCTGTACAAGCTTTGAGTGTTAGTGCTTCTAAGCTTCAAGAAAGAAGCGATCGACACCAGATATCTTTAGATACGCTTAACGATACCCTCAATCGTCTTGACTTATCGTCATCAATAGAAAAAGCAAGCAACATAACTCACGAGCTCGAGCAGGTGGAAGATCAGTATCGTTTGATCGTCGATGCCTTACCAGGTAATTGTGATGAAAGAGATGGGCTTACTCTGCTTGCACCTGGCCCAGGTGCACCGTTACTAGCCTCGTGTCATAAAGGATGGATTGTTATCTCAAGGCGGATCGACGGTATGGTTGAATTCGATCGAACTTGGAACGATTACGCAGCAGGTTTTGGTTCACCTGTTAATGAATTTTGGATAGGCAATGAAGCACTTCATAGACTTACTCGAGACAACTGCAGCAGGTTGAAAATCGATTTAATGGATATATACGGTACACATTGGCACGCCGAATACGAATATTTCAATATTGATTCCGAGGAATCCGGTTATAAGCTTCACGTTTCCGGTTATTCCGGAAATGCAACCGACGCATTGTCCTATCAGAACAATATGGCCTTTAGTGCTAAGGACAGAGACATGGATATTAGTTCCACTGATTGCGCTGCTAATTATCACGGTGGATGGTGGTTCAGTCATTGTCAACATGCTAATTTAAATGGTAAATACTCGTTAGGGCTTACTTGGTTTAAGTCTAACACGAACGAGTGGATGGCCATTGCTTCCTCCGAAATGGCGATACAAAGAAAACAAAACTGCCGATAATTTTCTTCGATTCATTCTCCATGTCTTTTTAATCGCTATTGAAATTCAACAACTTATTATATCAACCGTCTTTATCCTTGTTGGTTTTTTTATTTCTTCGATCAAATTGAATCTACAAAATATTATAAATCAACAGACGACGTCATTTTCATGTGCTTGCAAAAAGACTTTAAATATTCATTCAATTAATATCATTTGCAAGACATTTAATTATTCGCGATTATAATACCAAAGAATCATTTTAAGTCCATTGTAAATAGATTTATTGTATAATTAAATGCGTGTGATATCAGACGATATATTAGAATGTAATAGAAAGTTTTTCAACAGGATCAGAGTGACAAGCTTATCAATCTGATGCTATAATTTAAAATAAATATATATATATATTTTAAGTAAACATATATATATGTATATGTAATATATAAGTATTTGTAATTTAAATAAATTGAATACACAATTAATATGCTGCTTCAAATATTTGTTCTTCAGGAAAGCTTTATTGCATATTTTCCAATCATAATTAATTTTTTCTGTATGAACTTTTAAATGACTAATGAATCCACTTTGAGATACGAACAATGCATTGCACACGTGGCATGTAAAATTGTTTGTTCTGGCATCCTTTTATTCATCACTCTTTTTGTAATCTATTGAAATAAATGTTTTATCATAAAATTAATAAGCAATATGCTTGAGATCACTGTGAATCATGAAGTGTTTTTGGAATCTGTTTTTGAATTTATAAATTTTACTACAAATATTGTATAGATATTCGTCTTTACTGTTCACCCTCAAAAGAAAATATATACAGCATACTTTCTTACATTTTACTAAAATATTAAAACTAAGTTTCATAAACATCTGCAATAATATATTAATATTCTTTTTATTTAAACGATAAACATATAAACAAATCTTCAGTTCTACCAATAACATACAAATAAAAAATAAATTACGTTTTGCTAATGATATATTATACAACATAGAAACTGAACTTTAAACTTTAAAACGCTGAAGACACTGGCGCTACCTATGCGCGATAAAACATTGTATACTATATTTAAAAATGTCAAATATGTATTTTTATATATAAATAGAAAGTAATAGTTTTTAAAAGGAGTAAATAGTGATCGAAAAAATGTATGCACGTGTATTGTTAATTATTGAATTATTAAAACAGAGTTTAATCTCGTTTACGAAATAGTCGATTACATGAAAATAAGGTATTATTCGTGAACCAATGAGAGTCCTCTATGCCATACTATACACTGTATTTGCAACTACTTGCAACAACCATATGGATTTTCTTACTTCGACATACTTCAAATTTCACCGGACGACGTCATATTATTAGTAAATTATTTCGTAATTTTTATTCATTTGATATAATAATATTAATGAACTATAATAATTATTATATTTAAACATTATAATATTGCTGACGGAAGTACGTAGAAATTGGTGAGGCGATATCAAAACGCCATTTTGTGTATCCTTTCAAGCGAAGAAGGTAGACTTCTATACATAGAAAGATAAAAATACTTAAATCTTGTATTTAAGTGTTCTATCTATTCGCGATATTAGCGGGTGGATATTATTTCTTCTTCTTTATTTCACTACGATATAATTAAACTGCGTTGATGATTGGGATTCCGCGAGACGACCGACATAAAATCACGGTTAAAATCCGCAACAACATGAAAAGGAGTTCGAGTCGTGATACTCCACCTCCTCGGGTGAAACGAAGTCGATCTTCCATGGGGCGGTAAGTATTATTTATTTATCTTATATATTTATCTATTTCATTGTAAACTCATTGTTACATTTATCTTATATGCTCGCAAATATAAACATCATTTTTATTCATTGTCCTCGCGTTATCGTTTAATTAATTTAATATTTATAATATACATTAAATTATGGTGTTATGTAATTAAAATTTACTTTCTAGATTTATATGAAGTATACAATTTTAGTGCAATAAGATATTTATTGTATATATTGTGTATTGGAACATTATTGATTTTATGTATCATTGTTTTTAGATAAATATGTGTGTGTGTGTGTGTGTGAGAATCATGTATCATTGTAATGTTTTTTAATCTAGTCTGTAATAGCTAGTATAATATTTTTATCAATTTATAGATATGATGATTCAAGTGATGAACGGATTACGCCTGAACGTATTCGACGACGTAGCAGAGGTGCAAGAAGTCCTAGTCCATCAGCAAGAGCGTCATCTCATGCGCGTTATGTAGAGTCCAGTTCACATCGCGACGAATATTTGCGTGCACCTCGAGATTTACCACCTGAACGACCGTACAGTTATAAAGTTCTTTGTGTCAGTTCCATTCATCCGAAAGCCAGTGATGAAGTAATTAAAGATACTTTGTATAGAGAATATAAAAAGTTTGGTGATTTTTCTATAAGAATTTCTCATGAGTTAGATGAACGCGTTGCTTATGTGTGCTTCAGGAGCTCAGAAGATGCACGAGATGCGAAACATGCTAAACCACGAATTATAATGTATGATAAAGTAGCTTTGGTAGAGCCAGTTTATGAAAGACCCGATACGTATCGTAGGCAAAGATCTGTTTCACCACCAGATTATGAACGGTATTATGCTAGATCTCCAGGTCCAACAGATAGACATAGACCATTAGATCGATATGAACGTGTATATGGGCCTCCTGTAGGTTTACCACCCCATCGTGAAATGAGAAGAGAAACAATACCACCGCCTCACCACGAATTTGTTAGGCCACCGATTCATCACGGACCACCTCATGTACATCCTGGTCCTCCTCATCATTATGGTCCACCTAGACATATGATGCTTCGTCATCCTGTTCATGGATTTGAACGAGTTGAAAACAAGAAAGATAAATTTCCAAATTATCTCCATCACGTTTCTCCAGAAGATGACCCTCTTGCAACTAGGACTCTTTTTGCTGGTAATTTGGAAATTAATATAACTGAGGATGAATTACGTAGAATCTTTAGTAAATACGGTGTTGTTGATGATATTGATATCAAAAGACCACCGCCAGGAACAGGAAATGCATATGCTTTCGTCCGATTCCAGACATTAGATATGGCTCATAGATGCAAAGTTGAACTTTCTGGGCAGTATATAGGAAAGTTTCAGTGCAAGATAGGATATGGTAAGGCAACTCCCACAACACGAATATGGGTTGGTGGTTTGGGTCCTTGGACTTCAGTACCTCAATTAGAAAGAGAGTTTGACAGATTTGGAGCCATTAAAAAAATTGATTATCTTAAAAGCGAAAGTAATGCATATATCCTTTATGACTCTATTGATGCAGCACAAGCTGCTGTAAAAGAGATGCGTGGTTTTCCTCTCGGTGGTCCAGAACGAAGATTAAGAGTTGATTTTGCAGATGTAACTCCTGGTTTTGGTTTTAAGCCTAGATCATATCCAGAAGACAATGCTGAGTTTCGACCACGTTTGGTAGACTATGAATCACCATATGATCCTTACGGTCCTGAAACTGAATTTGGTTATGGACCAAGAGGTTTTCGGGGACGAGGAAGTGCACCATGGCACGAAAGAAGAGGCGGTGGCAGAGGCGGTTACCGTGGTACTGTTCCAGATGGTTATCTCCGTGATGAAGCAGATTGGTCCAGTCGTAGACCACTTCCAGATCTAGAATATGAAGCTTCTCGTATAAGAAGATCAATGTCACGAGAACCTGGTGTAGATCGATCAAGATCTAGATCACCACGTAGAAGACAAATGGATTCAGATTCAGATTCGGAAAATACTCGTACAGGAATGCTCTCAACGTCTCGTACTTTACCGGAAGTTGCACGAAAATCTATTGCAGTTTGGCAAGGTGCATTAATATTAAAGAATTCACTATTTCCAGCTAAATTTCATCTTACAGATGGAGATACTGAAATAATAGATGCTCTTATGAAAGATGAGGAGGGTAAACATATGCTTAGAATAACACAGCGCCTTCGTCTCGATCAACCAAAGTTAGATGATGTATCTAAAAGAATACAAACTTCTAGTTCACACGCGATATTTCTTGGTCTTGCTGGATCAAGCGGAGCTATTACAAACGATGATGCTAATGTTCAAACTAGACCACTTCGTAATTTGGTTTCATATTTAAAGCAAAAAGAGGCAGCAGGTGTTATATCACTTTTAAACAAAGATACAGAAGGAACTGGAGTACTCTATGCATTTCCACCATGTGCTTTTTCTACAGAGCTCCTGAAGCGTACGTGTCCTAGTTTAAGCGAAGAAGGTTTAAAAGAGGATCATTTGGTAATTGTTGTTGTTAAGGGTGGTAGTGCCTAAATTTTAAACTGGAGTGACACAAACAATTGCTTAATTCATAAATAACAAACAAAATCATTTCATTATTTGAATACTTCCTGAGGTGAAGTATTATTTTGATTTAATTGGTAAGGTGGTTATAGAAGAATGATGTACAGAAGTTGTAGCAATGATTGATGCTTTTTGATCTATATAAGTATTATTATCATAGATTTGACTAAATCATTTTACAATATTACTTATTTGTCAATATGATTTTTAAGACAATTAATTATTGATGTGTATTATTTTATACAATAATATACATGTATAATATGTACGTGCTTATACAATTGATATTTTTTAACTATTAATATTTTCATTTCACAAATGTAGATAATATATGAAATAGAAATATTTGAATCCGTCTAAATACTTAAGTCTATAATAATATAAATTTATCGAATAACAAAATAACCAAAATATATTGAAGCACAAGTTGAAACAATTTTAATGGATTCTAAATATGAATTATAAATAACAGTATAATTATTATATATATATCTTACAAAAAAAAGATCAAAGTAAATACATCAAAAAAATATTAAAGAATAATACTTATATTGTATCAAAAAACATTATTAATAGCGCGTTTACTTGATGGAACTGAGAAATTTTAGAGTGGTTGCAAAAAATGAAGTACATCATTAATAAGGTACCTTTATTATAAGAGTCTTGACATAAAAAAATAATATTATTACCCTTATAATCAGAGGTAAATGTTTAACTATATAAATATTATAAGAATTTATCTGTATCATACACATATATATATATATATACACACACATATATATATATATATATATATATATATATATAT